AGGCGCAATCCTCACCCCCTCCTCCCTGCCCTGACCCAACAGGCAAACGTCTGTTGGGTTGTGGTGGGGGGAAGGAGGTGGGGAGGCACTGTAACTCATAGCACTTTATGTAAAGCACCATGGGTTACAGCAGGGGCCTGTGCATCTGTCATCACCTTTTGTGACTTCTTGTAGTTTTCCTTAAACTGTTTTTCTTCCCTGTGGGGCTCAGAGTATACCATTTATAGCATGGTGCTGTTAAACTATCAGAAACCTAAACCAGAAAACCCAGTCTAAGGCATCACCTCCCTGAATATTTTACTCCAGGGCTTCTGCTTCCAATAAGCTATTCTTATAGAAAGAGTTTTCTTTTTTTCTCCCAAGAAACTTGATTGGCAGGTAGTGTCCAGCCCTGCTGCTTCTTCCCTGGGTATTGTTGAAGGGAGGAAGCTAAGTTAGAGTTAATCCCCTGTTTTCCAGAAACCAAGTAATGCTTCTGGACCCTGTCAGAGCTGGAAAATGCCCTTGACCATCATGTAGAACTCTCTGTCTTACCAGTAGAGATTCTACACTTAGCTTCAAAGATGTATGTGTTGTTTACCCACAAAATAGAGTATTTCAAGTTTGATTTTACATTTATTGGCCTCCATCAGTTTGTGTTATATTGTGAATGTGGAATCATTCGTGAAACTATTGGCCGTGTGTAGAAAAAATGAGGGGCATGTGTGCATGACACTTTAACGCAGGTTAAATGCTTTTGCACTGCTTTAATGGTGTCAGTGTTTGCACTCCTTGGCAACATATTGCACATTAATTCCAGCCGCTGTAGGAAATTCGGTGGTATAATGTGCCTTAAATGACTTGGGGTGGAGCAAACTAAAACTCCTTCAAGGAGTTTTAATTTGCTGCCCCTACAGCCATGGAGCAAAGCACCAGGCTCCATGCAGCTCCAGGGGATCTGCAGGTAGCCTGGCAGCAGCCTGGGAAAGCAGGCTCCACCCCAGAAAAGCAGTGAGCCTGATCTCCCCTCCACCCCCACCCCCAGAGTCTGCCTGAGCTGTGCGAGGGTCCGGTGGTTCCCTCCGCAGCTGTGGTGCCCCCCAGGACCACCCAAGCCAGATGTCTGTGGGTGGGTGCTGCCTAGGGGGGCCTCTGTTGCCGCAGAGGGAAGCAGAAGCCCCCTTCCCCCCCTCCTTCCCTGCAGCCCATGGACCTCTCTGCCCACCGGCAGCTTGCCCTCCCCTCCCCACCAGAGAGGCAGGTGGGGTGTGTGCCCAACACCGGGGTTTAATCAGCCGTAAACTGAAGCGGTGTTTTTTAAAACCCACCACCTCAATTTAGGGCCCCCATTTCATCTACACATGCCCTATTTGAGTGTAGGCTATTAAGTTGCATTAGTTTTTTTCTCAGTTAAAAAAAAAATCCTTCCTTTCTCTTTCCTCAAAGACTTCTGACTCACTGATAATAAAGCATGTATTTTTGCTTTCATTTCCCCCTACCTAGAAATGTTTTGTAATCATTTAGCATATTACAAATACCAGTATGTAGTCCCAGACTGCATATCAAAGGTAATTACATCTTGGGGGTTTCTTGGTATTCATAAACTGCATAAGCTACCTTCCTACTGGTTGTGATTTCAGCAGAACTTCATGATTACACTGCAGCATAGTGATCAGTCTGGGACAACTTATTACAGGATAATTATATTTCCCTACCTCACAAAGGTGGTATGAGACCTAGTTCACTAATACTCATAAAGTGCTGTGAGATCCCTGCATAGAAAAAGTCCACAGAAGTGCTTATAATTATTACTGTTGCATACATAGCCAGAAGTCAATCCCTTTGATATTAATAAAGCTGTCTAAAAATTAGGAGGAAATACACCCACCTCCTTCCCCCCCCCCCCCTTAAAAAAAATAGAAAAGGAAGAAAAGGGGTTTTTTTCTTATGGGAAAAGGGGGA